AACGGCTCGTGCACTTGCGAGTATCACAAGTTGAGGATGCAGTTGAAACCATTTTGGTGCAGCTGAATCGAAGCAACAATGGACTTTGTGACACACACAATGATGGATGAATCACACACACACACTTGAGACAACAACCAAGCACAAAGTGACATAAGAATTTATAGAGGTTCAGCAATTGCCTACATCCTCTTGGTGATCCCCTTGAGAAATTCACTTCATGAAAGAATAAGTTACAACTTTGGTTTTACACAGAAAAACCCCCTTAGAACTCTATTCTCTCCCCAAGCTCTCTTTTCTCTCACACCCCTTGCTCAACACTTTGATGCACTTGTGAACACTCTCACAACCCTTGGTGTTTCCCTCCTTGGTGTCTAGACTCTCAAGACCCCAACTCAGCTCATAACTTGAACTGATTGCTCTCCCTCACGTTCTCCCTTGGTGAGTTAACCTCCTTTGAACACAATAGCACCCAGCTACTTGACCACCTTGAGATTAACCACACATAACTTCAACTTGCTTTCTCATCTTATAATGTCTTGCTTTATCTCCATTACCTACACAAACCAATGGACACAAGATAAGGCACCATCTTGTCTTCCACGTTCCTTCCTTTAGTCTCCCACTTAGACTAAAGATCAGATCATGCAAGTAAACAACTCCCACTTCAGCCACCTTCCACTAAAACAGAAAATGGAGAGTGAATCCTTCAAAGCAAGACAAACAATTGGCAATGAGTGCTCTCCCAACTATCCAGCAGGTAGTCCACCTTCTTTTACCTCAGAAGTGACCCATTAAGCACCTGCAATCTTGTGGAAAGCGATAGCCACCGAAAAAGTAGTTGAAAACACGTAAGGAAAACATCAGCACAGCACAGAAGCGACCGGTCGCGGATACCTTGCGACCGGTCGTCACGACCATTTGGATACCTAGCGACCGGTCGCAGATACCTTGCTACTGGTCGCTTCCTGCGAATTTTTCAGACTTCGACTCTGTCCAAAAACGACCGGTCGCCCAAACCTTGCGACCGGTCGCTGCCTCCTTCACTTGCAACCTTAATGTGAGCCAAATTTCCAACAGGTGTCACTTTCAAATTTAGTCATGACTTCCTAACGTATGCCTCTACTCCACCAGGCTCCTTGGTGTCGAGGAAAACTATTATGTCCTTCACGGGCAGTGGCGGTAAGCTCACCCATGTAGGTCTTCCCCAACCAAAATCATTATCATAGAGAGGAAATTGGCACAAACTACTGTGGTAAGAAGTAACCACCTCCCCTTTGCTAGCACTTTGAGCAAGCCGGCCGATCAAACTCAGCTGCTCATCACCATGTTGTAGTCTTTTCACGAAGTCCTTGTCAATCTTGCTTATTGCTTCTCGTACCCGCCTTACCATGCCATAAGAAGATTCTTGATCACCATCATCATCATCCCCATTACTTAAGAAGGGAGCAGTCAAAGAATTACCATAAATATTTCCAAAAGAATATGGAGACAACGGTGGATCAATCAGTGGACGCAAGTCCACAGAGTGGATCAGGCTATGCAACTTATTCTTATCATTATGATCATCCTTGGTAGCTCCCACAAATCGCCTCCACATGAAAGCCGATAAGGCCTCGACA